GGGGGGGGGGCCCCCCCCCCCCCCCCCCCCCCTTCCTCAAAGACTTTCAAACACATAAATATTTATAATTTTATGAGATCTGAACTGATCTGCTCCAGGTTTCCATCAAAGAAAAGTCAAGGAATCGCACTAGCAATGAACAGTATTACATTGTTTGGCCTTGATCACAATTTTGGTACAGCTTAATCTGCCAGATTGAGCTAGAAGAAGATTACAGACGCGATGGCATACGACCTTTCAACGCGTAAATAAACTTGAGACAGCGGGAGAATAAAGTTTACAAACCTTTAAAAAGTGATTTTGAGCTTTATATAAATTCTGTGAAAGTCTACGGGAAAGCGACGAATGAATTTTATTTCTGCTTTGCACAACAACAAACAGCCAACTCTTAATAACAACCGTTTCTTTCCCTAGCTTTCTTTTTGTGTGTTTTAGCATTTTATCCCACCACCATTTCCATTCCTTTTGAGAAATTCTATGTCACAAATATTTATCGGTCTTCACACCATTCGTTTTCCTTTCGGATCTAGTAAACGAAAAGGCATTGTGTTAGATATATGATCGTGTTACGAGTCAACCACTTGATCAAAATCAGTTCATCATTTACTTGTTCTTCTTCTTCAGGTGTAAAGTCATTAACAATGTTGAACCTAGTGAGACAAAAAAGGGATTATCATAGGCTTCATCAAAACACTTAGACTTGATCAAACTCACGTCTTGCGGATTTCTTCGACAGATTTGCCCTTGATCATGTTTGCGACCGTTTTGCAACCTATTCATCATGATTATGGTCAGTGCTCTTGGAATCTATACCAATGATACCAACTGGTTCTAATGAATGTAACCACATACCCAAATCAAGCAAATTCTTCATATCCAAATAATTCGCAGCCAAGATCAATTCAAACAAGGTGCCTTGATCAACATTCATGAATTCACGATCCCAGTCTTCGATATCATCAGATGATTTGGGCTTCATTTCTTCTTCTGGGGGGAGAGGTGGGTCGTCCTTGTGTTGCGTGGCATAGTCGATGACTATGTAAAGGAAAAGATGGTTGGATTAGTGATTGAAATGATCAGATAATCATAGATTGATATGTGTTTGTTTATTGAGGGTGTTTTTTCGTTGCATATCGGTTGCGTTGCATGTTGAGCCTTTTGACATGTCATAACCAAATCCAACGAGAGCGACATTCAAATCATCAAATGTACTCATAAATTATCATAATAACACCATCCATTCATCAAGCTACCGTCCCAAAAACACAAAAGCACCGTCAAACGGTAAGCTTCCCAATTTTACCTTTGGATAGAATAGGACCAGACACATTGGGAAGAGGGCTAGTACGGAGCAAACAAAATAACATGAGATACGAATATCTACACAACTAGCCATTTTTCTCTTACACTGTAAACAACGAGAAGCCGTTTAGTTTTTGAAATCAAACTCAAAATGCTCAGAAATGCGCAAACACCAACAGAATATAATGTGTTTTAAGGAACATACTTGGTGCATCATCACTTTCTCCTATATCTTCCAACATGTTCTTAATGAGCACGGATTGACATGCTACTTCCTTTGGTACTGCGAACTATTTTAAAACAAATACAAATGGTTGATTTGCGTTGTTTGCTTTTATAACATGAACGGTGCAGGATATATGATTAGTGTACCTCTTGTCCATCAGACGATGTGAGCTTGACCATGATTGCCTCCTTTGGTCTCTCTTGTCCTGGTTGGGTTGGGTGTTGTGTTTGCGGTGAAGGAAGACGAAAGCTTCTCGAATCACGAGAGAGCGTTTTGGGAATAATTGGAAATGAGACGAGGTTTTATATGGTTTAACTCGTGGTTTTAACAAGGATATAATAATAAGAGGTACCGTATACAATGTGCCTCGCTGCCGAATGGTAAATGTGAGTAACGTTCGCGATAATGAACATGTGGATCAATGCATCGAAGCTGAGGACTGAAATAGTAAGCATATTACGCGTACACAGGTATCATCACGTCTGATTATATACAACAAACATTGCACCAAACCTTCGTCACTAAACCACCTAACATAATACTTGTCTTATATGTACCGAAATAAAGAAAAGCAACATATTAAGAGTCTTTGTGCTACCATACAACATCAACCACCACTATCATCATCAATCTCATCTCTTTCCTCTCCCATTTGGCAAAGAATCATGTCGATCTTCACTACTCGATACATTACTATTCTGAGATCGCCTCGCTCTCGCACCATCAAATCCACCAAACGCTTTTCCTGACCTGATCGCCGATATCATATCATCCAATCCTCCAGACTCGGCTGATGCTTGCGGTGGTGCTGAAGACAGGCTGGTTTCTCGTTTCTTGCGGCGTGCTAGTTCTCGATCCTATGACGGACGGGTAAAGAGGATGAGAATGAGTTCGTATGTTGCGAAATGTGTGATGGGTGAAAGATATGAAGCATGTGTAGTGCATTCGACGTGATGTCGGTGATTTTCTTTTGCTACAGTCAAAGAAGCCATCTCACTCACCACTTTCTCACGCTCCCTCTTATCCAACTCGATTTGTTTAGCAACCGCTTGATCGTTATCAGCTCGTGCCTGATTGAAATCTCGCACGAATTTCAGTAATATACCAAAGAACTCTTCGGGTGTGGTGGTTTTCGGGTCTTCTCCATACAAGTTACATAGTGATTCAAATTGCTTTTCAGTGTCCTGTATTTGAAATGGATTAGATTCAGATTCCATATAAATGGTTTCGAAAAAAAAAAATCGACAGGTGGGTTTATGAGCTGCAACAGTTTTCAGGCACGAACTCGACGCCCATACTTCCACAAACCCAAACCCAAACAAACCCACATACCTTCAACCTCGAATCCAAACTCTGGAAATAATCCTCAGCCTTCTTATAAAACTCTCCCATCTCTTTAATATACTTCCTATCACCAACAGCATCAGAAGACTCTAGCGTCTCCAACAAGGCCTTCAAGTTTGCCAAATTGTCTCGTACAGCCATCAGGATTTGCCGGATGGTCGGTATACTGACTTTGGATGCTTCTTCAATGTGCGTTAACTCATTGGCAAAGTCTTGGGCTTCAGGGAAACGATCTCGCATTATGGTCGTGAGGTAGTGCATTAGGGTGTGTTTGCGAGTTGAGACGTTGGATTTCGTGTCACTGAGCTATTTTTTAAGTTCAAAAGTGGAAGCATTTTCTTAGAGCCCGCGAGATTTAACATGAGCCGAAAAAAGCCCAACACAAGAATGCTAGATTACCTTGGGTAAACTACTTAATTTGAATCCGTACGCTCCACCACGCTGACCAGGATTCATATAATTACCAACAGCCAGAATAATCTACTCAAACAAAAAAGGTCAGAAGCGCTTTAGCGTTAACGGTCACCATCCACATCTTTTCAACACATTACCTGCAAGACCTTCGTAAACTTCTTACTCTCCTTTACATCCTCAATACCACCATTCAGTCCAGCCAGCATGGCCTCAGCATCATCAGTATACTCATCCCAAGTAGTTCGAAATGACATGGCCTTCAATTTTTCTGAATACTTGTTTACAGTCGATACTTCAGCCAAGAAACGTTCTGCGGATGCTAGTTGGTTGACTTCTGCTTCGTATTGTTTTAGTGATGATACCTAATGATACATAGGATTCAAAGTGAGAAAAAAATGACAGCATAGCGGCAGATAGGGTTTGAAACTGATCACACACTCACTTCTTCATCAGATGGCACAAACTTGAGCAGCTCTGTCAAAATAGATCGATGCAGAGTCTGCAAATCGACTTCATTGACACCCGTAGCGATAGCAGCAGGTGACAACTTGATTGCTCGAATCATAATATTACAGTTTTGAGATCGTTTAGGATCCAAAAATGTAATTTCCTTGTTACCGACTAAATTAAAAAGTGCAAAGAATGTGTCAGTAAAGAATTAAAAATGGCTCGTAAATCGTGATCATTTTGTAAACTATCCATTTTTTGCATACCTGCTTCTTCACCGCCCTTCTTCAAATTAACAGTCTCCTTCGCAGCAAACAAATCCTCCAACTCTGTGTACTTGTCCTTCATCTTATTGTGTATCTCCTGATCATCAATATGCGCCCATATGGTATCCGCCACTTTAATCGGAGGTATCTTTGTCCAATTAAGTGCCTTCAACGGTTTGGTAGACAGATTGAGTTTCTTGGGCGGTGGACCGGTTGGGACAGGTGGTGGTGCTGCTGGACCTCCAAAACCTGGTGGTGGAGGAGGTGGTGGAGGACCTCCCATTCCTGGCGGAGGTGGTGGAGGCGGAGGACCTCCCATTCCTGGCGGCATTGGAGGTGGTGGTGGTCCACCCATTCCTGGAGGTGGCGGAGGAGGTGGTGGTGCACCTCCCATCATTCCTGGGGGTGGGGGCGGTGGGGGAGGAGCACCTCCCATTAGCATGCCAGGTGGAGGGGGTGGTGGTGGTGGTGCACCTCCAAATCCTTCCATTCCTGGTGGTGGTGGCGGAGGTGGAGGAGCTCCACTGTCTATACTGCTACCACCAGCAGGCTAAGTTGACCAAAATGTATTAGTTGGATATTCATGGTGAGAAGCGACAGAAAACCCTGCTGCAAGAACCGATACAAATGAATGCTTCAGTACACACCACATCAATCCTAGCAATATTCTCATGTAATCGACTCAACAATTCAGCAGCTGATTTATTATCCGTTGAATCAAACCTCTCCTTGACTAGATGTTCCAAGGCAGCCAAATCCTTCTTGAGACCACCAATCGAAGATGTCAGTGTTGCATTCTCAGTAGCAAGATTGGCAACTTTTTGAGCACTAGCTGCCTCTTCTACAACGATGAAACAAATGTTTCGTGTGAGCCAAAAAAACGGTCAGAGAAACTTAATGGATGGTCGTCAAATCAAGACTCACTCGATTTCTTCTTCTCCTCATCCAATTCCTTTTCTAATCTCTTGGCCTTTTCTAACTGCTTGCGATATCTCTCTTCACTTGCAGCCGTCTTGTCCAATACTTCAGTCAGCTCTGCTACCCATTGCTGAACATCGATGCTGGCCAGAGCGGATGCTGGATCTGGATTGTCTGAATCCTTTTGTAGCAATATCTGGGCTACGACCTTCTCAATTACATACATTAGTTTCATTCTAGAAAAATGACAAAGTGGTCAATAAAAACGACGCTGTTCCTTTTTTGCTGAGAAATACTCTGCAAAAATTCACAGCCATACTAAGACACGCACTTTTGGAAGGGATTAGCTGGCAACAACAACAAATGCTGCAGCAAGTTTGACCAATGTGGTCCACAACTGGTAGGTGCCATAGAATCATTCAATGCCCAGAATATGTCTTCGTTATCTTCCACATCAACAGTCGATAAATCGATCTTGGAATACAATTCTTCCTCATCAGTCTCGAGACTGGTAACCCAGACATCGATTTGATTCTGTAGTAGATCATTCTCGACTTCTTCAATGACCTATAGATAACGAGAATTGTAAGCAAAACCACTTACAAATCAAAGGGCGTCCTATATGCTTTTTTTTACCTCTAATAATGGCTCAAGACCCAACTGTATAAACTCATATCTCATATGCATTCTGAAATCGAGATTGATACCAGGACCACCGAGAATGATGGCGTTTATGAATGACATACTGGCGACCTAAACAAATGAATTTAAGAATTAACGTCGAGGCAAAAAAGAGAGATAAGTCTGGCTCACGAACTCACTTGAAGTTCTTCATCCAACGGCGTAGTTCCCTGACAGCTCTGCCATAACGAATACACGACAATCTCAAACCGACTTCGTAGCCCAGAGGTGCTAGCCATGGCATCCATTCCTTCCAGCACACATTTGTGACCTTCTGGTATGAAACATACCGCACCAAATATTTCTAGGACTGTGGCTCTTGTTCGAACTGATGGGGATCGTAGTGATAGAGCAATGACATCCATGGCACCGTCCATATCTAGGACTGCGTATAATCCAATCTATGATATTTACGGCATGTCAAAAAAATGTACGTGGACTCCAGAATGGTGATGTACCTTGTTATTCATGAGTGCTTTCAGACATTTGATGTAGAGTTCTTCGAATTCTTCATGTCTAAATACGAGTTAAATTGAGATTCAGTTTGACAGGTGTCATGAGGGATATGGTTTGTTTTGGGATAAACTCACTTTCTCCTCTCCTCAACATCAATAGGCCTCTTCTTATCCTCCAGCTCTTTCAAATTATCCAACAAGGAAGCCAGCCCTCCACTCTCCACAAAGTCTGAAATCCACCTGACAGGTCTATTCCTCAAACACACCACCAAGTCCTTCAGCAGCTCTGGTGTCGGATCCTCTCTCAATTTCTTGATCTCTACAGACCCATCAGCGGATATTCCCGACGAGGGCACAGCGGATATGGCGTTGGAGGTACTACCAGTAATAACACCAGCTCTATATCTTTCACCTAGATGTTGTTGAAGCATGACCCATTTGCGATCAGCGGGGATGTCACGGATGGTTTTCTTCTTGTCTTCTGTGAGATTAAGATCTTCTAGGAGAAGTTCGAGCATACGTTCCATTACTTCTGGAGGAGGCATAGGAGCAGTGTCTGCAGATGCGAGTGTTAGAATGGATCCGCCTGTAGTGCTTGGTGCTGATGATCCGACTGTTCGTGCTGGCGACGATCTATAAAATAAGGATTTCAGTATCTCCATGTTTGATAGAGCAGTAGATGTGATTGAGTGAGCGGTTGTTCAAAAGTCGAACGGTCCAGATATGTACCCAGGAGTATCCGTCTTTTCATCGACAGGAGTGATAACAGGGAGTGGTTTTGCGGATCTGACAGTGACGGTAGGCTGTTGCTGTAGTCCATTAGTCTGCTGTTGTGGGGGACGAGGTTTTTGATATTGCTGTTGTTGTTGCTGGTGTGATGATGATTTTGGAGCCGGGGTCGGGGCAAACATGGACCTGTTAGGAGAGATCACATAGTGTAGAGTTAGTATAAAATCTTCTTGTCAACATTGTAATCGCTTCATGATGCTCTAATTCAAGTAGCTGCTCGCTACATGATCTTTCAAGTACTTGCCGTAAAGTCCATCTTGAATTTCTTGAAGCCATGTTTTGCTCTGTATTACTGGCTACTTATAAGGAATTGATCTCCTTCAAGGCCACTTCATCTGTATCTGGCAATCAACTTGTCCACGACCTCGCTCTATTCTCAGAAATGTGATTTTGGCGGAAAGTACGTGAACAAGTCCAGCAATTGTATGTAAGGTGGCTCTAGCGTGTTTTAACGCGATGCTACTAGTTGTACGAGTACTATCAACGCTTCAATGGATTGCAAGGCACTGTCGACCGCGTCGGGACATGAAAATTGCAATGGTGGTTTCACGTTGTTGAAGAAACAGTTTTCTATTGCTACTTGACAAGCTCACGTGTCTTAAGCGTTACACATCAATCTTTCATAGACATTTATCCCAAAAGCTTGAGTAAAGACTACCTTTAACTCTCCTCAAACTCGACACAATTCCCAACTTTCCAAAAGTTCAACAGTGGAGTCTTTGACCAGCCGAGGGAGGGAATCACGACAAAAGTCACCGCATCATGTTCTCGGCCACATTAATATGGATCATCTCCGTCTTGGTGGCTATTGCATCGGCGTCTGAGGTAAAAATTATAACAGTTTGCGCCATCTGTTGTTTCCTTGTCCAAATGTGCCTCGATCACACTCGTGAAAGGGCACTTTCAGAGTTGTTTCTTGAGAATTCTAGCTCATAAATGATATCTCGCTCTAAATATGACACGGAACTTGTAGGAACTGGATGTGTTTACGCCAACGAGAACTCTTGTGGTCAAAGTTGTCGCGTCACCTGCCAGATCACCTTCCAGGTCTCCTTCAAGGTCTCCAACCGCATCGCCAACAGACTATTCTGCTCCTGATACTACTTATGATCCAATGACTATCATTAAACGTATGTCCCCAGGAACTTTGAACATCCTAACGCTCACTAACACATATGCCTTATAGCGATCCTAATCGTAGCCTCAATAATATTCGCCCTATGCTACTTTTCTCGCCGCCTCAAAAGACGAAACGCAAGGCTTGCTGCTGATCGCCTGGCAGCAGCTACAGCCGCGTCTCAACCATCTGCAAGAATGCAAGCAATTATGGCAAGCATCCCTGCACGTGTACCAATGGACTACACACAACAGCCGATAGAGCAGCAGCAATACATGACACAAGTTATAGCACCACCAGACCAACAACAATACATAGCGCAAGGTATACTACCACCCGTGTACCAACAAACATACATCCCACCACAACAACGCCCAAACCCAATTACCCACCTTACAGACGACCGAATAGCCATAACGGACCCAATGGACGAGTTCCGAACCGACAATACCGGCATCGACTACGAGACCCTCTTCAACACCCAAATAAACTATGACAATCTAGCACCCGTCACAATCGATATAGACCACTACTTCTACGGTTCATCACCCGATATCCCATACTATGACATCAACGCACCAACCTCGTCTGAAGACGGTTTCGGCGAACTAGCACTCCCAGTATACTCCACCGACAAGCCATCCGTAATAACAAGTGTCGAAGGTGGATGGCTCAATGCAGATAACGATTACGTTAACAGGAGACAGCGTTATGCGAATACGACAAATCGTGTGGAGGGAGGGTTTCTGAATCATGATGCGAACTATGTTAATAGGAGGTTGAATTACGCGACAGGGAATCGACCGCTTTGGAGAAGTAGGAGGGAGAAGCCTGTTATTAGTGTTGAGTATCAGCCGCCTGGATGGGGTTAATCAAAGCAATCTGTAAAAACATGGTCTGTAAAATGGAAGGTCTGTAATGTTGTAAATTGTATATGGTGTTGATACATGCTGATTTATTCCAACGAAGCACACGAGCTTTGCAATCCAAGTGATCTTAAGTAAAAAGAGACTTTGCGATGAGATCTTGACCCCTCTGTGTTTCTCAATCCGGGCTTGGGACGGGGTTGGAGCAAGATACCATCTCCCATAAACTTCTTTTACATGAATTCCGTTGAGTTGAAGAGGTGGAGTGAAGGTGCTGAATGTGACAAGCGCATTAGGCCACATGATAAAACAGCAAAGATCTTGAATGGAGTCACCGTCTCATGTGCAACGTTGCTCGACTTTCCCTCCCAACTCAAATTCCAAGGACTCAAGATATAGACCATTGTGGCAAAACCCACAGAGCCAGCACAGAAATTGGTTGCGGCATCCACCAGCGAGATTTCAACTTGAAACCCGCTTGAAAAAACATGCGCCTGCTGGCATGGTTACTTGAATTCCATTGACGTAAAGAGGTGGAGTGAAAGTCCAAAATTCTAAAAGCGCGTTAAGGTCTGTTGATAGGACAGTAGAAATCTTGAAGAGAGGCCAGTACTCACCTGCAATCAGAGCAGACCGCTCTCGAGGTTGGCATTTACAATGAGGAGTGCCATCTGCGTTTTCATCCGGGCATTGGACAGGCATTGGCAGCATTACACTCACGACCCATGATGACTTGAATAGTACTGAACGCACTTGACCTTGCATACTCTCTTTCCAACCCACAAAGCTGCTTGGATCCGAAATGCTGGAAGACAATCTTTGTACTGGCATGCAAGTCACAGACACTGTTGTAACTTAGCAAAGCCCTTTTAGAGTCGGTGGATCTTGGGGTTGCCGTCTCTAAAAAAATATGTCGATGCTAACCGTGTATGTCTGTCGTCCTCCAGATCTAGGCACCATTCAAGTGAATCAACCGATGCAATAATAGCGTAGTTTGTCGTATACGCAATGTGTTTCTGTTTTGTGCGATTTGTGGAAGAGGTTTGGTGGTTGCTGCCTTGCGTCTACCAAATTTCAATTCGCAACGTTAGTTTGCTTTAGATCTAGAAGCCATCCAAGAAGATCTACAAGGTAAATCAACAGTACATTATGATATAAAGTATACATACCATGATGTCTCTCTAGTCCTCTTGTACTTGTCCTTGTCCAGAACAGTTCTACAATTTTTGCTGAAGTTATGCCAATTGTATGTAAACAGGCAGAACTAAGGTGTTCTGTGCAATTTGTATGCATTTTGACGTACGGCGAGCTCTCTGGCACGTTACGGAACGTGGTTCTGCCTCGTTGCTTTTGTTGACAGTGTTGAACGTTCAAACAGTGGAATCCTGAGGTCCGCAGAGACTGAGGAGACGTACAAGGCCCTTCAAAACTAGGAAGCACAGTTTCAAGTCTCTGATGTACTCCAAAATAGAAGGATATTGATCGCTAGTCTGAATCAACCGAATTGCGTCGTTTGCGATTGCTGGATTTTGAACCAAGGGGCAAGAGATTGAAGGGCGTCAAGTGATACTACGCTCTTGCGAGTAAACCGAACTTATTGATTCTTGAGGTTTATTCATTCCGGTTTCAAATAATAATACATAAACGTTTCAAACGCTTCTATCTCTCTCCACACCAATCCACTGCAATTTACAGAACCCCATACACCCATATCAACCACTTGCCGGCATCGCGGCACTCAAAACAGGCGTATCTCTGACTCTCGTCTTACTATAATCCTGGAAGGCACTCACAACATTCACAGTCCTCACAGCATTCCTCAACTTTTCAACATTCACATCAACACGTTTCTTCATTGCAGCATGTTCTTCCTTCTTGTGCAGTTTCGCCATTCGGGAAGGTGATGGCCACAATTTAGCAGTCAGCTCGAACGACCAGTGGCGGATGATCAGGACTTTGACGATATCGAGCAGCATGAAGGAGATGATGGAGATCGAGAGGACGGAGACTCCCCATGGCCAGCCACTAGAAACATTAAGCGTGTTAGATAAATTTCTGGCGTGGTATGAAGAGGAGCACGTCGACGACGCCAACATGATGTATATAACTTACATGGCAGTAGCATCAAAGAACGCAATCCCATAAATACTCATAAACATGGCAAACACCTGAGTCCCCGCAACAGCAAGCACAAAGATAGGAGATGGCAACTGTACCCAGAACCAAGTTGGTAATCTCGTACTGAAGATGACGAAATGAGGACATGAGGATATCTGTAAGTACATGATGGTCTGTAGTCTTCCATCATTGACAGAATTTGTGATCTTGTCTAGAGGGATGCCGAGATGCTGAGCGACAAAGAAATGGGCGAATGAGATTCCCATTAGGAGTAAGCCCAGAATGAATGACAGGGTGAGGAGCTGGCCGAGACGCCACTTGTCGGGACGTTTCGAGATTTTGGCATTGTCGACAGAGATTACGAGGGTTGCGGCGTCGTTTAGGACTAGTGGGGAAAGAGAGTAAGTATATCGGTATGTTGAATATGGTCACAGACGGTAACAAGGACATACCGGCGATCAGGATAATAAGACGATCAGGCAACGCGAATTCAAAGACAAGCAGACTGATAAAGAAGAATAGCAAAAAGTGGATTGTCGATGTGATTCGGTATACTATAAAAAGAAAAAGATCGTCAGTCTCCAAATCACCAAAAAAAAGCACAACGAAAAGACAGGTTTGTTTGCACAACTAACCAGCATAAGAACGCATGCGTTGGAAGATAGCTCGAGAGCACTTGACACCGTCAACAATTGTAGAGAGACCAGCAGCCAACAGGACAATATCTGCTGCAGATCGTGCAGCATCGGTACATCCCTGTACGGCGATACCGACGTTAGCCTTCTTGAGAGCTGGAGCATCGTTTACACCGTCACCTAAGTTTAGAAAATGATTTAGTACTTGACTCTCCATATACGTATAATTATTTAGATCAACGGTATTCAAAGGACAGGATGCCAACAACTCACCAGTCATTCCAACGAGGTAACCACGCTTTTGGAGGAGTTCGACGACACGGTACTTGTGTTCTGGGATGACCTGCGATAAAAACGACGAAATAAGTCATGCGTTTTATCTGCTGCTTGAATCCAGCACACAATACATACCTGAGCAAATCCATCAGCCTTCTCAACACGATCAATCATAGCTTCCTCATCAATAGTAGAATCTATTAATTTGTGTGCATCCAATATAGTTTGGTTCATTCCCAATCTCTGAGCGACTTCCTTGGCAATGATGAGTTGATCACCAGTGATCATCTTGACCTTTAAAACAGTATCAATTAGTATCGGGCTTCATTTGCAACGATGCCAAAACGCTCTGGTATAATCAGCTGATACTTACTCCGATACCAAGCTCATTACATTCGCGAATCGTAGTTCCAGAATCAGGTCTCGGAGGATCCAAAAGCGAAATCATACCGACCATCTCGAAGACTTGCATCTCAGCATCAATGGTACGTGCAACACCCAAAGCTCTCAACCCCCGCTTTGCGAAACTCAACACGGCAGCCTCAGCTTGTGTATGTCCACCACATTTAGACACAATCACTTGTGGAGCGCCCTTGATAACCCGGTAAGTCTGTTTCGTGTTTTCTTCAAAGACGGTTGCTTCAGTGTATTTCGAGTGTGGGTTGAATGGAATGAAGCCCTTGATACTGTATCCGGGCACCACGTGTGATTTTTGGTCGGGACGGGATTTGATGGCGGGGACACGGTCTTCGGCCGCACTCCGGACGGCAAGCTCGATTGCGTCCATGGCACCGGGCTCGGAGGCACAGTATGCGTACATGAGGAGGTCGTTGTCTTCGTAGGGGCCTGCGCCAGAGCCGGCAAAGTTGGTGCTGGTGTTGCCTTTTTGGGCGAGATAGGGCGTGTCGAAAGTTAGTTCGTTCAATGTTAAGGTGCCGGTTTTGTCTAGAAAATAGATATTCAATAAGTGGGTCCAAAGTTTTCTTTTTGCATTTGTCTTGGATTGAAATCCGTTATACTAACCAGAGCAAAGAATGGATACTGAAGCCAATTCTTCGATCGCTGTCAGACGCTTGACGATAACTTGCTTGGCAGCTAATTGTTTGGCACCAACAGCCATGGTTACGGACATTACAGTCTAGCGAAAAAAGAAAGCAGGGTAAGGACTCATCATCACTTGAGAGCGAAATTTGCTCGTATCTTGTTTTACCGGTAGACCAACGGGAATAGCAGCAATAGTCAGGACCAAAACACTCTTCAATGAATCAAGGAAGCCCAATCCTTTAGCAGTGCAGAACACGATCAAAAGGATCAACACCATGACCTGCGATTCAGGAATGATTTGTTAGCGTCAGGTTCATGCAAAAAGACCTTATGGCAATAAACAATAATGGTATTCAGCAACTAATACTCACCAGAGTAATTCCAATCAAAAAGTTTCCGATATTGTTGATAACTTTCTGGAAGTGTCCCATATCGTTCGTCATACTAATGAGATTAGCAGCACGTCCAATGTAGGTGTGGATACCAGTCTTGGTGACAACACCCAGCATTTGTCCTTGCTTGACAATGGAACTGGAGTACGCGATGGCGTTCTTGTGCTTGATGACTGGGAGGGATTCACCAGTCAATGCAGATTGATCGATTTGGAGACCTGCATCTGCAGCGTCACCAGTGACACCGATACCCAAAAGTCTGTATGATAGTCAAGTTCAAATGTTAGTTTAAACAGCAGCAAGACTTGGGTCAGGACGATGGATTGAGCAAGCCGCGAGACACGTACCGGCAATCAGCGGGTATGATATCACCAAGACGGAGCGAAATAATGTCACCGGGTACGAGCATGCATGATTCAACTTCATCCAAATGTCCATTTCGGTATGTTCTCGATTTAAGAGCCAAAGTATTCTTCAACGCGTCCAAAGCACTCTCGGCTTTAGCTTCTTCAAAGTATCCGATACAAGCATTCAGAATCAGCACGACGAGAATGATTCCAAAGTCAATCCAGTCACCAACGATAGCGGAAATTAGTGCAGCGACTTCCAGCAGGAAGGATATCGGACCGCCGAAATAGGATAGGAATTTCAAGAATGGATTGTGTTTCTTTTCAGGAATTTCTAATTGTAATAAGGAAATGACATGTGAAAATGCTCCCCGGTTTGTTTAGGGCTGCTCAACCAAAAACCTACCATTCTTTCCAAACTTTTCTAATCTCTCAGCAGCTTCAACATCTGTTAGCCCCTTCAGTGGCTCTGTTTGCAGCAGCTTTTCTAGTTCTGGATCTAGATCTTCAACTACCTCGACATGGACTTCAGGTGTGGATGCCGCGACCTTCTTGTCATTGTTTAATGTGCCACTGGCAGGCACTGTATCCTTTGAGCCGTCCATATATCAAATATGCAACAGTTCCGTGGATTGGCCTAAGCAAAAAAGTTGCAGTGTTGGTTGATTATGCTCGATTTGCGTACCAGGATACTAAAATGCAAAGAAAACTTACGCGATTCAGATTATCTCGTTGAGTTAAAGGTTGTGATCCCGAATCAAATCCGTGGTCATGAGCTGGGTGAATCCAAGATACTTTGTCTCCTAATGATCTGTGGAATTCTTTTTTCGCTCGCTCGTGGTCGAAAAGTGTTGGTTCGACAATTTCTAAAAAACTCTACGATGATGGATTGGGGGGTTGAGGGATATTTTGTTGGTTGGTGAAAACCCTCCGGTCCTTGCAACTCTGGCAATCTTATGTTTGGTTTGGACGGGAAACAATTAGCTCGTATTGCTCTGATCTGTAATTTCTCATTCACAGCAGCAGGCACATTCAGCTAAACACAAGTTCGCATACCGACCGAGTAGTAGCTCAAGTGGTTTGAGCGTTTCGAGGCGCTTGTAAAGTAGTGGAATCTGTTGCGTTTGGAAGGGATTGGCTACTATTGCTTGACAGGTAGCTGGTCTAGTGATACGCCCAGAGTATTGTGTGCTTGAATCGTTTTAGGAATTGTGCTGACTTCATCATCCACATTAGAGTCGTCTAACGCAGATACAAACTTGCCATCGAAGCACCAATATATCTATATCGTAAACATCCGTGCTTAATTCGCTCATTCCCCCAGAATCTAAACACATTCAATTCATATTTTAAGGCTTTGCAACGCCCACATTAGACCTCTTACAAGAGCTACCTTTGGAACGCAGAATTGGATATTCGACTCAACCCTTGATCGCCCTGCTAGCAAAATCGGCCGTGGGACTCACTTCATTGCTTATCAGAGACTCGTTTTTGAAAAACTTGACGACCCACGCACACGTGGTTTTCGTTGTGGAGAGGAAATGGCGATGGCAACTGCGAATCGTGATACTACCCTGATATCAGAGTTTGCTCCCCATCCGAGTTTGACTGCTGCTTCTCCTGGAAGGCAGCTGTTTGTTGGAAACGTGAGAAAACACACAAACATTTTGTTGCCAGTCACTTCAAACACACGCTGACTTTGTCGACATTCTATCTAGCTACCATTTTCTGTACAATGGCAGGAACTAAAGGATCTGTAGGCGAACGAATCGTGATGCCTTCCCGTGTTTCTGATCTCGTTACTCACACAACGGCCTTAACACAGGTTTAAGGAATGTGGAACTGTGGTTCGCGCTGACGTGGCTACTACACCGGCTGGACGATCGCGGGGATTCGGCACAGTGCTATTTGCGAAATCGAGTGATGCAGCAAATGCAATCGCCAGATTTAGTCAGTACGAGTGGTATGGAAGAGGAATCGATGTACGAGAGGATCGTGCTCTTTCCACAGGAAATACAGGAGTAGAAGGCCCTATTGGAGGGCCTGCTATAGGTGAAAAGAGCTTGGGTAATGTTGACTTTGTGGCATATAGTGATGCTTGCGTTTTTTGTTGTTGCAGATACAACTCCAGGTTTACGATCTGTATATGTTGGGAATCTACCGTATTCTGTTGGCTGGCAAGATTTAAAGGCAAGAATCTTTACACTACACTCTGCTCAACCAGCTTCTGTTTACATAAATCAAAGTAAATTGCTCTCTGAACTAGTCAATTTTTTTTCTCTCAGGATCTTTTCAAGAGTGTCGGAAACGTCATTCGAGCCGATATCCAACAGGACTATCGGAAAAAGAGTAAAGGCTTTGGCACAGTGTTGATGCAGACGCCAGAGGAAGCAAGGAATGCAATAGGTAAACAACCCACTTTTACAATCACAGACAGGAGTTTTTATACTTACACATCTATATTACAGCGAAACTGAACGGATACGAGTGGAATGGCAGACAGATAGAAGTCCGTGAAGAACGGACACATCAGAACGACCATGGTGCTGCTGCTTCTGGAGGCAGCACTTCAGCACCACATCCATATTCTCCTGCTATAGATCCGGCGTCGAATGGTGGATCTGCGTCGAGTCGGCAGCTTTATGTTGGGAATTTGGTGGTAAAAAAGTGCTGGTGTAATAGATTGTGCAAGCATCGATTTTACTCACACTTGTTCCGCATAGTTTACGATTCAGTGGCAAGAATTAAAGGTATGTTCATGATGCTTTGAAACACTTGCTGTATCAGTTGCAAAACGTGAATGGCAGCGACGACCGTCATACAATTGCCACTGAAACCTCTTTTTTGCTTCTAGGATCTCTTCCGACAAGCTGGCAATGTCGTTCGAGCCGATGTTGCCCAAGATGCTCAAGGCAGATCTCGAGGTTATGGCACAATAGTGATGGCTACTCCGCAGGAAGCTCAAGCTGCTGTGACGCAGTTTAATGGTACAGACCTGCAAGGACGAACTATTGAAGTTCGTGAAGACAAGTTTGCGGCTGAAACTACGGCGCTACCGGGGACGCAAGTGTTTGTTGGCAATGTACGTGGTTTGATTTTGTGTTTGGAATTGGTCAAAACGAGTCAATATTGAGAAACTAAATGAGTATTAAATGTATAGTTACCGTATACGACGCGCTGGCAAGATCTGAAAGATGGTATCTATTTTCTCGCTCTTGCTTTCTTTTGTGCACTTGATGAACAATACTGTCGCGTTTATTCTAGCCATACGGAACACTGGCCTAAACCCCGTCCACGCCGACATCATGATCGAGCAAGGAACCGGACGCAGCAAAGGATGCGGCACAGTGCGCTTCACTTCAAGAGAAGAAGCTGAAAAGGCTGTTGAGGTTGTGAATGGACTTAATATTGCCGGTCGCAACATTGTGGTGCGATTGGACAAGTTTGCGTAGAGTATTTATTTAAGTCTGTGGCTCCTTTAAAAGATTGTCGGTGGGCGGGATTGTGTGTGTGTCAGAGTGTGGAGTGTCTAAAAACAGAGTGTGGGGTGTCGGGCATGAGTGTGGTGTGTGTCTGTGGTTATGTGACTTAATTTTCTGTATCTTTACTGTAATACATGAACTTAACTGGTATATGTGGTTGGTATGGATGATTTTATTTATGATGTATAACTGCTACTCCAAACAAAGTTCAGAGTTCCCTTAAACGTCACAGTTTACTTTCTTCCTCGAGAAACGTATTAATTATAGCTTCAGACTGTCCATTGTCCATGTCGTATATCCTATCCACAAAGAGCATCAGTTCAACAAAACAAAGCCCATTGCGGATGATGCCAAAAAGAACTTACGAGTGTCCAGCTCCCGGTATCAAATAAAACTTCCCTCCGATCGCATCAACAGCCTTCCTCGCCCTCTCAACCGTAATCAGCTGATCATCCTCACCATGTATCTGAATGGTTCTCAACCCCTTCAACCCCCTCAGCGTCTCCGTATAATCATACTTGGAAACAGCTCTCTTCTGCCCATCAACGACAGCAACAGGACGATGCCACCTCAGATAGAATTCAGCCAACTCATCAAACTTCTCTGGGTTTGCGTGTATCCATGCATCAGAATAACTACTTGCCACGATTTCACGTCCGAGTTGTAAACGGGTCTCGTGAGAGTCGGATGGAATCGGGTAGCGTTGAGCTATTGATGGTGATGTTGAGGGATTTTGGATTGATTGGGATGCACAGCAGTAGAGGATGAGGTTTTTCAGCTTTGGTGGGGTTGTTGGTGGGTAGATGCGTGGGGCGAGAGCTTGAGCGATTATGCCACCCATTGAAAGGCCAAGGAGGGAGAATTCTGTTACTCCTTTAAACAAAAAAGGATATTAGCTTTGGACATTTAGAGCAACCGATTCCGAGATAATGAGTCCACCTTGCTGTTGCGTTATATGGGTAATCAGATCCAGTGCATCGTGTGCTAGTAACTCTATTGGCGAGTCCGTGGAGTTCGTAGTACTCTCTCCAATTCCTCTATGATCGTAGATTACAACGGGACGTTTCTTGGATAACGATGCAGTGAAATGTCTCCCTAAAAGTGAAAAAGACCAGTCAGCTTAGAGTCAAGACGAAGCTTAATTGTCACAATTCACGTACAATCCTCTTTTACACCGGCTCTAGTAGTTGAAATCAGATGAAACTGCGATAAACTCATGAACTACGACATTGGACACTTACAGACCACGGATGCAAAACAAGGGAGTCCGTCCCGTCAAATGACTGCCTAAGATGACGTAGGCGATTCTACTGCCATCTGCAAGTGTGAGGAACTCTGTTTTCATGATGATCAGAGCAAATTGAGTTTTTGGTTTTTGAGGAAGCAGCAACGCTGCATGTCCGTCGTTTCAGGCTGTTCGCTTAACAACTACGTCCTTCATCTGCTTAAAGTAACATGTAACCGAAATGAAGGTCCAGAGAAATCAGCACAATTACGTGATTTCGTCTTCGAGATGTCAAACTTTTCGAGTGGTGGTGCCTTTTATTTCGGCCTATAGTTGATGCAAAGGTGACAAACGGAGCGACCAGCATTTTTGGACTTCAGTGTGAGAGCACGGCTGGTTTCTTCTGCTATAACATCACTGTGCACACACCAAAACTTCATGCCTTCAACACGAACATTCACCAGGACTCATGAGAGCTAGCGGGCCGCAAACCATTCAACGTCTATCAAGAAAATAAATAGGGTTGCCACGCGATCGTCTAAGGTACTTGCACTTCACAGGTTTCTTCTGCTGTTAAATTTGATATGCGTCAAATTGTACAATTGCTGGCGGTCACTGATTTGCTTCTTTTTACTAGTCTCAATTGGGCTTCTATATTGCTTTAAATTCAGGTATGGATATTAGAAAATGGCTTAAAGCTCAACTCTATCTGTAATCTGTCTTGCTTTTGGATAGCGGTTGCTGTTCAACACCCATCATTCGGGAAACCACACGTTTTCAGAAACCCTTAATACTGCAAGGGAAGTATGTACTTTCGTAATTTCTTGAATGATATGGTGCATTTGCGAGCTGATATTGGGTAGCTGGGTACTCCGGCAATGTATTCTGCAAACACATCAAGTCACGACTGATTCCACGTGTTTTTTCACTAGAAACCGTCGACATAACTATCTGAATCGATGATACTGGTCACGAATGATGTATTCGAGTACCTTGGATCCCTGGTGAAAGTTTTCTGAACTTGGCGCAAAACTTGAAAAATCAACACCATGCGAACAACACAACTTTTTGGACTAAAAGGACGAGGAACAACTTTTATGCTACAAAAATAGCACCATTGGATAGCCAGAGCAAATTGACTATGGGTCTTTATATGAAAAAAAGGGGCAGCCTTCGCGCCTTACTCCTGTGGTGTGTCAAACCAATTGTGGGAGCACTGTCTGCCTTGAAACAGGCTTTCATTCCTGCAATCTAGGGATCAAATCTGAGACTTCAAATTCTTCCATGCGGCCAGTAACGCACGCCTCAGTGAGTATGAGTTACCGCTGTGTTTTCCTATTGAAATTTAGATGTTTTCTGATGGCATATATGTCACCTGGAGAGTCACTTGGAGACGTTGAGGTGTGCTTATGCGAGCAAAGTGGGAGTGAAGTGGTTATATTGGATAAGAGAAGGATGAAATGATAATGGATCCAATTATTCATGATGCTCTTACCTCATTCTCACATTCCTCTACGTCCATCGTCGTCGACAGATTCACTAACGGGCTTAAATTATGCTTGTGGTCATGACCATGTATTAGCTAGAAAATCTGATTAGTAGAGATATGGAAACTACAGGACGCCTTTCGATTCTTCACTTTGGGTCGACTCTTGTCAATTGTGGCCGTCTTCGCATCTAAGAAACAAACAATCTGACAATCAGAACCATGCAGTATAGACTACGAGAGATGAGCTGGAGATCAACTCCCAAGCTGATGACTTTGAATTGGATCGTTATTCGCTGCTTCTCTCCTCCATCGCAACAACCTAGGAATGAGGAGACACTAAGCTTGTGGTATTCAGGATTTGTATCTGGTAGTACTTGGATGAAATCTGGGCTGGACAGCTCCGGATAGAAATCAGTGTTACAGTATATATAGTCTCAAATACAATTGAGGTTTGGTGACTATATAGGTCTCTATGTTTTTGAATGTGAGAAGGTGAGGAGACTTAGCAATGCCAACATGATAGAATGCTCCTGTTCCATACACATACAAGCCAGAGAAATAGGCTGCTTCGTCGACCTCAATTCAATATAATTTGAGAAACTCAGCAGACCGTGTCGCCAGCTTGCATGTTCGAACTCAACATACAACTTCAGTGAGGTCAAGTGTAAGCTCCACAAAACACATTCCTTCCACGATCTTTGAACGATGATCCGAAATATTTAAAAAACCTATGTAAATGCTTCTGTACTAGGCCCTCGATAATGTAAGTTCTGCCATTATAGGCAAATGATCTGATCCAATAGTCTCATTCGGAATTGGTGCTCTCAACTCTTCTAGAGTTACTATTCTCAACAGTCGTTCAACCTTCACCGATAATTCCTCGTCTCGAACACTAAATATATAATCGAGAGTACCCACAAATCCTTCACTCCAGTGAGTATACTCTGGCTCATCGTGATCAATATTCGGAGCTGGTGACTTGGATACGATTGCTCTATATGTGGAGTAGCAGGAATCGAGACGCGGCAGAGATTCTCGACGTTTGATAATGGTATCGACGGCGCCTTCCTCTGCATCAAGCTGCAGATCTGCCATCATCTCGGGTGTCAGAGGCTTGTGCATCCGTATTCCTCGATAGGTCGCTTCGAGTGGAGTTACATTGAAATCTACCTTCGGCTGGGTCAGACACGGTCGTCAGTTCTATTGCAAACTCTCAGAAGCTCACCACCACACATGAATCCATGCCATCGTATTCCACTCTCATCGACCTGTTCTAGTTGCCGTTTCAAATCTGTAATGCCTTCCAGAGTCACCATGGCCTGATGCAATTTCGTGAATTTGGCTGCAGGTCTCCAATAACTATGCTAGTGGGACAAATATAAGCCAGGCTTCAACTTTGCAAACAGCCGGTTCTTGCTACTGCCGGCTTACTTGATTCGACACAATCAACCCAACACTTGGATTCGATGTGGTGAAGGCAGCAACTTGAGCTATACATCCAGTTTGCCAATCTGTTTTAGACTGACACGGCGGCTCAGCAGAATCGAAATCTAATATTAACTGCCACTTCGATTCGAACGTGGCAGACTTCCAACCGACACAAAGACCATATTGGGCCGTATCTTTCCCGTCCTTCGGAGTCTTTCTATCAAAAGACCATTCATAGCCCAGTCGTGTAAAAGTGCTTCCAAAGTTACTTGCGAAGTGGTCGTGATCGATTTCTTGTAGGCAAATTATATCGGGTTTGTGTTGTTCAATCACATTTACCAGGAGCGGCATTCGAGTCCTAATGTGTTTCAAAGTCAGGAAGATAAAGGTATCAGTCTATTTGTAGCGTGTCTTACTTGAGCTTCAATGCATTCTTAGTACAATTCGGATAGCGATCACGTCTGATGAGAGTTTGTGCCAGAGCATTGAATGTCATCAACGTGAATTTCAAGCTACTATCATGTCGAGCGGTATGCTTGAGAGGAGCAAGTGCCTCAGGCACATCAAGCCAAAGCGAGGTCATTTTCTGCATCGTTCAAGTAATTGTCAGATTAGCTTGTCATGGTTAAATCTTGGTACAGAAGCACAAATTGTGAGCTCGGCGAGGTCAACTTCGCTATCTACAAGCATATTACCTGAACGTACTGCTAAATCGTTAACGACGACTAGATGATCAGCTCCTCAGTTCAATATTTTAATCGGAGTCACTCAGCAGGAAACTGAGAAATAATACGCAGCGGTGAAAATGAGGTCTGTAACGCGATTATATCGTATCGACGATTATGTCAGCTATTGAATCACATACATTACTACATTATTATTTCACTTGTTATCTTCATATTCATTCTTTAATAAGTAGACACGCACTTCTTGTTCGGATTCGAGGTTTCGTACGTGACGACGAGCTTTAGTCACCATCACAATTTCAAGCGGGCAAGCGACGCGTAGATCAAAGCTCTAACTGGTCTCATTTGCTCACATCTCTAACTTCGCTTCTTGTTAGTAGTGCTTACGAGCTGGTTACATAAGCAGTCAGCTCACACCAACGCAAACACATATAGAAACCAAGGCAAAGCAACTGCAGAGGTGAGTGCCAGGATTTACATACTTGTTGTGACCTGATGAACACTTTGGATGCTTCGAAAATACCGCCCATGTTTAACAAAACAATGGATGGATGTGATGGATTTCATGGTCCTCACACTTTACGAGCTTGTTGGAATTCGAAGAGTGCAGAGAGAGACAGAGAAAGAAAGGCTCTACAAGCAAATCTATCTAGGAATCATACTAAAATCAACTGTCAACTCACTGGCATCATCGTTGTTTTATAGCCATGGGTCGTGTTATTCGAGCCCAAAGGAAGGGTAAAGGTGGTATTTTCGTATCTCACGTCAAGAGAAGGGTTGGAGCTGCTAAGCTCCGTCCATTGGATTACGCTGAACGGTACGATATTGTGGAAATTCAAGTCCTTTAGATAGCTTCTGCTTGTAAGAACAGCATTTTTCTGATGATTCCTTTCACAGACACGGATACATTCGAGGTCTAGTCAAGGAAATCATCCATGATCCAGGTCGTGGGGCTCCATTGGCCCGTGTGGTTTTCCGTGATCCATACCGATACAAACTGAGGGAAGAAATGTTTGTTGCTACTGAAGGAATGTTTACTGGCCAATTCGTATACTGTGGCAAAAAGGGTATATATAAAACGACTACATATTCGTCTTGCATGAACGCTTGAATCACAATGATACTCATATATCTGTTAATATGTAGCAACTCTCAACGTCGGTAACGTGTTACCACTTGAATGTATGCCCGAAGGAACAATCATTTGCAACGTTGAAGAAAAGACTGGAGATCGAGGCGCATTAGCCCGTACATCCGGAAACTATGCCACCATCATTGGTCACAACCCAGACCAAGGAATCACTCGTATCAAACTGCCATCAGGTGCTAAAAAAGTAGTCATGGGTAACTGTCGTGCTACAGTCGGTATTGTTGCTGGTGGTGGAAGAATTGATAAACCAATGTTGAAGGCTGGTCGTGCTCATCACAAGTTCCGTGTCAAGAGAAACTCTTGGCCAAAGACTCGTGGTGTTGCTATGAATCCTGTTGATCACCCTCACGGAGGTGGTAACCATCAACATATTGGTCACGCTTCTACTGTTGCTCGATCTGCTCCTCCAGGTCAAAAAGTTGGTCTCATTGCTGCCAGGAGAACCGGTCTGCTCCGTGGTACTAAGAAGGTAAGAAGAGGAGATGTCTACGTTGGAATTTTGATGCACACCTGTACCTGTTTCTTTGTTGCTGTGATTGCATCCCTTACTTAACGCAAAACATTTTCAAATGTAGCTTACGGAGAAGTCCGCATAAAGTCCCTAGCATCGAAACCACTTTTGTATACAAAATATATTTGCCCAGTAGCTCACAAAAGACCGGTTTATGTCCTTTATTTCGTGAAGCGTTGGACTTGGATTTAACACATAGGGTTGGATATTACTGCGCGGATGTGGCAGTTGCTCTTCCCGTTCTTCCAGAGACGCCAACGCATCATGAGGATACAGCTACTGTTAATTCTTATTGCCGTAACAGATGCAGTTGTCGTACCGCAGCTCACTGTCCTTCCTGTTTACGGGAGTTCAGAATGTACGAAATTCCTTCGAAATTGTGTCGTAACGCCGCAAACTCTACAAACACTGTTAACCAGACTTCTTATGTGCCTAATTAGGTGGATTCTATGCCAATATCAATATGACAAGAGAAGGACTAACCCTTCCCATCCTAATCGACACATCATCCTCGGACTTGGCAATACTTACAAGAGCTTCGTGTTCATCATGTAATACCACGTATCAGCCGACAATACCGACACCATCAATCACTGCTGTGAATAATTACACGACTGGAAGTCTTTCTGGACGTGTTGTACACGAGGATGTGGCTGTTGGTGATATTTTGATGCCAAACTTGCCAATGATGGCTATTGATGCTATTACAGGGAGTGCATTGAAGACATGTACGAGTGCCTCCGTGCCTGCGTCAAGAGGAATCATGGGACTTGGAGCATCACGACTTGCCAATTCGTTTATATCGTCGACGGGATTCATACATGGAATCAGCAATTTGGCTGTGGATGCATTCGCGCTTCAGATATGCAAGAATGATGCTGTAACGAGGCTGAATGTTACGTCGTCGGGACATTTATGGATTGGTGGATGGGATTCATCCTTTTTTGCGCCGTCAACGGATTTGATGACTTTGGATCTTGTTACTGCACGAGGCTATTACGGATTGAATGTGACGAACTTTAGTCTTTCGTCTGGGTCGAATTACATAAGCAGTGTTTCGCTAATGAGTGTTGCAGAAACTTCGTGTAGTCAAGGGACGTGTATATTGGATTCAACAAGCAGTGAACTTGGTCTGCCACCTACAACCTATTCGACACTCGTCAGCAAACTACAATCATCTTCAGCCATAATATTTCCATCTAATACTTCAGCATCGACTCTCTTTTGGAGTGCAGGCTACATCATTGTGTCAAGTACTGCGATGACTTCCGACAACATCACTCTGTCTCTCACCATATCTGGAACCAACAATGTGACTATAAATTCATCATCCTTTATATCGTCAGTAGCATGTGGATCGTCCTGTCTCACAACTAGGGACACTTCAATACTCCCTTATTCTCGACAATCTCTACCATGGATAACCACCGACTCAAACTGTGATCCAACATCCGGAACACCACTGTCAGCCAACTGCAGACTCTATTTCCGCTCAGGCCTCTCATCTCAATTATCCGGTATAACACTTGGCCTCCCACTATTCTACAACCGAGTGCTTGTGTTTGATCTAGCCAACTCGGCACTTAAACTGGCATCTGGAATCAATTGCAGTGCCAGTGGTACGCTATCTGGGATGATTGATACTGCTAATGCGTCGAGTGTGGGATATGTGGTTGTGATTTCTGCTCTTGGAGGTAGTTGTGGTGCAATAGTTTTGGGAATAGCAGGGTTTTCATTAATGAGGCGCCGTGTGCGTGTTAATATAATGTGATTGTGAATATAATTGATGCATAATTTGATTGCCATGTCGCGAAAAGTTTGCCGTTTAGGTGCTCTGAAAACAAATTTCCCAAAAAAGCTCAAAATTTGGTGGTTATAACGGAGAGGAAATTTGTCATTCAAAAATGAATTCGGTCAGTGTATTTGGTGTCATCGCACTGCCTCGTTGGTCAAAGGTTGGTCAATTCGGTCAGCGCTTCGGTCTTTGATTCGAAAAAACCGCTGAGCTGTCCAGTTTTGCTGAAAGGGAGAAAGAGGGCAAAAGCACACACACATTTCCTCAGTTTCGCAACAACCAAGAGTTCCATATCAAAAGAGATAGGAACCATATATATCAACACACTAGATACGGCGCATCGTCTATCGTTAGCCCTGCCTCATTCAACAGTAAGTTCCTCATCTGCTCATCTGCTTCCAACACCATTTTCGCCTTCAATTTCAAATCGAGATCTTGCTGGTGACTTGACCACCAACTAGCCCAGATACTAACCATCAATCGCCATCAATCTAACTAGGAAACTATTCATAAACCAACTCCCATACTACCAGTTACTACCAGTTTTATGTCAGTAGACCCAAACCAACATCAACTCAACATCAGCCAAAATGGAAAGAACCTTGTAGAGGATACCAATCTATTCGAAACAGCTTCCACTCTGGTCTTTGGTCATTCTAACGCTACTACTGCTACTCAATTGCCTTACCCAACTCCATACGAGCAAAGTTTACACGACTTCTCGTTGCCCTCCAACTCCAATCCACTTGCTACGCCCGAATACACTCCTTTATTCGATACTTTTGATACTCCCGTTGCCGGTAAGTCCATCAAATGCATCATATTCCCTCGTCGCTCCTCTTCATTCTTCTAGTCTGTTGCGAAAAACCAAGCCTCACACACTCACTACCACAATTTGTCTTGTAGGTGACGACTGTCTCTTCCCCGAGTTTGGAGAAAGCTATCCCAACTTGACAGAACTCGCCAACGCTGCATTCGAACCCAACTTGGTCGATCTCTTTTTGCCGCTCAACGAACTCGCCGCCGCTCAATCGTACTTCCCAGACGTAAACCCAATTATAAATAGCAACGACATCAATACTTTCCTCGCTGCCTTCCACCAGGGCAATGTCGATCCATTCACTGTCGCCCAGGCTTTTGCTACCACTTTGCCGACTAAGGTATGTTGTTTTTCCCACTTTTACCGTGACTGAGCATGAAATGCAATTTTTCATGTGTCACACGTAATCAATTATACAAGCACAAGAGCAATCACTAACAATGTATTCCAATTCCATTCATTTATAGCACGATAACGAGAACGAGTCTCGAAACGACTCGCCCACTCCATCTACTTCCACTGGTCGAAGACGAGCTTCTCAAGGTGTTATCAAAAAGAAGAGAACTCCTTCAACTTGGTACACTTGTGACTTCCCTGACTGTCAATATGGTACTTCTCGGGCTTCCAATTTGCGAGACCACGTTGGAATCCATGATCCAAATCGAGAAAAGCCATTCAAGTGCCCATGTGGGAAGTCTTTTCCTCGAAACTCAGACCTGGTTCGACACAACAAGAGCCATGTCAAGCAAAAGGTGCATTCAAGTTGTTGGATGGTGGTGTTGTGATTTGCAAAGGTTAACATTTCATGATTGAACACATTAGAGTTTCAAGTGCGGCCAATGCCCCTCGTCGTTCTCTCGACTGGACTCTCTTGCCAGGCACGAACGAGACCGCCACGGCTCCTTAGATGGTTAAAAAATCTCTCTAGATCTAGATCTTCTCTCAACTTGAAAAACCTGAATCGGTATTGACCCCCATCTACCCATAACAAAAGAGATTGTGTGAAACCCGTCGCACATGACAACCAATCAAGCTGTTTGTTGAGTATAGCTAGCTTCTATACCAGGACAACCAACAACTTTAAAAAATACCGGAACCTTTTTTTAACCCACCCACCATCCTGTGAAAGTCAGAAAAACAAAAAGTGATTATAGATAGATAGCCAAACAAACTCCTGGAGATGCTCCCTTGACTTATAATTAGGTGACCCGCATTGCCTCTTATATTACACCATACTGGAGCTTTGGAAGGAGTTTGTTTACAAAAGCTAGTAGTATTATTTGTTGGCTTGGGAAGGATGCTATGGTGTGAAAAAAGTGTGAAAAAAGAGACACATTATAAATAGTTATTATCATTTTAGCAGAGGATAAAGCCCCCTTTTGTTTGCCCCTTTGGCAAGCATTAAAATGTCGTCGTGTGGTGGGGATTGTAGTATATTAATATTGCTGCTTTTGTATGGGGGTTGTTGTTTTTTGTATCGTCTGCTAGTAATACGACATGAAACTTTTCCCCTCCCAATATTTGGACTTGTTTGCGAGATTGTGTCGTTGTGTTTTGCGCATGCGAAAGAAACGAACTTTGAAACGTGCAAGACATGGTTCTGCTTAAATTATTGATGGAATATATTAATGTTTATGTTAAAGCATCGTCAATTACTAGATTGCGTTTAGAATGGCGACTTGCCAACAGCCAACTGCTCGAAATCATAAATAATAACCCCAACAACAATACAAACAGTCAAACAGAACGCAAACGCAACCAGCACCTTAGCAGGCACCACATCCGTAATCCACTGCGGATATGCTCTAAAAGCATTCAAATCATTATTAATCAAATCCTGAGCAGCCAATCCCTCCGTGACTTTTTCCTCCAGATACGCAGCATTTGCGTCAGGAATGGATCCAAACAATGCAGCCTCGGCACCAGCCAGTGCAGTCTTGCCCCGATTATGGTCGAGTCCTGTTGCTCTTGATCCGAGTCGTGAGCCTGCAAGTGATCCAGCACGGGATTTGTTGTCGCCCAGCATACTGCTGGCGTTAGCGAGTCGTTGGCGTAGTGTGGGTTGGTCGCCGTTGGTGAGTGCGTCGAGACCTCGTGGTCGCGATCTTGTGAGAGACAGCTGGGATCCTTCAGGTGCGAAACTGTTGCGTGAGGCAGTCGAGTCCAGATCTCCGGTATTGTGTCTGTGCATGTTCTGGACAGAGTGTTTGGGACCTAGGTTGTCGAGTCGTAGTGCAGATGGTTGTCTCAGGTTTGTTGATGATTTGTTGCTGGCGTCGAGTCTCATCATGGATCCGCCTAGCATGGGTGAGTTTGAGGCTGCAAGTGACGAGAGCATGGTTGCCATTAGTCCTGTTCCTGCACCGGGAGTAAGTGTCATTGCTGGGGCTGTCACCATCGGGAGATTGAATCCGGGTACGATAGCGTTTGCTGATGCAGATATATTTGGGGCTGATGTGGTTCCATTTCCACCAAATGGCGAGTCGATATCTACAAACATGCCATCGTTCTGGTTTTGTTTGAGGTAATACGAGAATGGGTCTCGTCTCACAATAATGTCTGGATTTGCATGTGGGAGATGGTACACATAGTCGAAATCATCATCGTCACCACCTCTTTTACGTTTTTCTCCACCCATGAAATCCATGGCATCTAGTTCGTCAATGACGGATTGTGCGAGGACCATGTTTCGCTTTTCGAGAAAGAGGTAGATGAGGAAGGGGGCGATAAAGTTTGTTACGGATTGGAAGATAAGGGCAGTCCAGTTTATGAAGGTGTTGATTAGGGTGCCGGTTTGGAAGGGGATTACGACCAAGAAGGGGAAGATGGCAGCCCAGAATGTTGCGAGACCTGTAGATGAATGTGATTTGAAAGTGTCAAATATTTGTAATGGATTGTCACTTTTTTGGAGTAAATTTCGAGTATGTTACCTGGAGTACACAGCTTGGACTGAATCAAATTCATTCTTGAAATGATAATGTACACAGGAATGGAGGTGAGCAATGCCAAAATTGGGAATGCACTGGCGAAAAAGAGCAACTTTAATCAGCTTCAATGCATCCCAAACATTCAAAATTCTCAACTTACACAAAGATAATAGACTGCAACGGACTAGCATAAGCACTAGTCTGGATCGTGACCATAAAATTCGACCCCTGAGGCACTATAAGCGCCAACGCTCCAAACACACCAAACACAATATATCCAAAAGTGGCACATGCCAATGAAATCCATATACACTTCGTGATGCTGACATTCGGGTGTTTTGAGTTGATCCAACTGGGCACTGTTGTCACGAATGCGTAGTTGAACACCACTGTTCCTATAACTGATGCTGGGGAAGCGCCGAATGCGGGAAGGTATGAAGGGTTGGCGCCGATACTCCATGAGAGGATTGTCCATTCGGTGAGGCAGAATACCAGGAAACAGAATGAGACTGTGGTGTGTGAGAAGAGCTGTCAGAGAGAGCCCAGAGAGAAAACCCGTTCAAATTTTCAAACGGAATAAATACCAAATTGAATAATCATATTATCACTGAGTTTCATTGCTGCCATAGGTGCGACGAGAGCAATCAAAAGCTGAGATAAACATGAGTTGGCGTGAGCGAAAGAGTCCCCCTTAAGCACTGACGCAGAAAGGACGTACCAAAAATCCAGCAGTCATCAACATCGTATTCCCATCAAACGGAGAATTGGAGCCACTTTGCGTCGATACACACAGAATCCCTTGCTGAGGAGCAATCTGAAATCCACAAGTTGCACCAAACACTGTTATTAAGAATGAATCCAACGTCTAAATAAGACAAATATGAGTTTCTTGAATCTCTAGGTGATAGAAAGGAGGCAGAATATACCTGTATAGAGACAATAATAGAAGCGATGTTGATTGACTGCATGGATCCATAAATGACAAGATGTGTCAAATAGTACCAGTTTCGACCATAAAATTGATGCACTAGCACTGTGTATTCCACGTTTTGCTAAAAAGAGACGGTTGGTTTCATTGTAGGGATTCAAGTTGCGACAATATGTGTACCTCAAAGTTTCGATTCCCAGGAAACTTGGACATGGCTTCGACGAGACATAGTGAGCCCATACCGGTCAATACCATCATGACCAGAAACGTCAGGAGTGGTCTAGTTAACACAATTAAAGGTTACTCAGCACAATCCTTGAGTTTTTATCATTGGGCGAATTTCCACTCACACTACCCATCCACCTGTCTGGAAGATCAGCGGTATAGTCACAATGCCTAGTATGCGTTATATAGTATTAGATCTGGCTATAATTGCATGAGGTTGGTTATATGTTACCTGGCCCAGTCATACTGGAAACCAGCAAACTGATGCTTCCAGTTATACCACTACATAGAAGGAAGATGGCGTTAGATCTATCGTCGGATCATGAAGAGAAGGTCTAAATTACATGTTCTTCTTGTAGTCATCCGACATGGTTTCTATCTGGATCTCCTAGTTATAGTCGATTTGACTTGGTTGCTGCAAACAATGAAAAAAGTCGCTGTCTTCTCGGAGGTTTTTGATTGATCAAGGGGGCGAGGAAAATGGACCCGATATTTCAAAATTATTTTCGATAAGTGAAAATGGCATGCATTCAGCTCCCTATCTCAAAAGTTGTGGTGAGTATGAAAAACTGGAACACGCACGATAAAGGAAAGAAACCAAGACACAGCTCTGTGTCTTTCGTTTCATCCTCGGAGTATAAACGGTCAAGTACTTTTCCAAGTTTAATAAGTGGGTCCTGCTAGACAGCGATCGCATATTAAGAACAGTCCGTGGGATCAAATGATACTCCCACTACTGAATGCCGCAGATGCTGAACAGCATCTGGACCCAATACAAGTTACAACAGCAACCATTAAAGATATTGGATTGATAAAGAGACAGATACCTGGATCTCTACCAACTGCAATCAACTTTGCGCTGCCATCCTCACAACCGTCTGCTATAAGTAGTCCAGTCAACACAAAGAACAGTGCTGTAGATGATGTCTTAATATGGTAACTACGTCTACGTTTCGGGCAACTTTTTCACAGTTTAACTAACGCTTTGTTAACAACAACAATAGGGGCACCTTTGTATTGATAGCATTCTTCATCCCACTATGCATGCTAAGATACAGACGGAAGATAGAAGCATGCTTGGAACGCTGGAAGCGTAAAGGAAGCAAGGATCTGCCACCAATAATATTGACCAGCATCCCAGATTCCGAGTTGACTCTGCAACAGCAACAGAGTATAGAAATGGACGAAACCCACTTGGAACATGTAGTAGATCACGAAGATGAAGACCAGCCACTCCCGATATACACAAAAGAATGGGACGGAGAAGTGGGTGATTTATCAGTCTTAAATCTTGTGGGTGTGGAAGTCGATGGCGTTCAACTAGGGATTATATCTGATGGCATGCCGACATCACCTACATCGCCTGTTGAGTCTCTCGGTAGTAACATTACATCGTCGTCACCGCCACAATCGCCTGATCGTGAGAGAACTAGGTATATAATGACGTTGCCGAGCTATGAGGATTTGCTGTCTACATCGTCAATCACTATTCCGAGGCATTTGATCAAGGAGGATGATCCGGTATCGCCAACTGAAGACGACGACGAGGAGGAGGATGAATATGAACAGGATGAGGACGAACAGGAGGATGACGAGGACGAAGACGAAGAAGAACACTCACTACCAGAAGGCAACGAAGCGGACGAATCCACATCCCTCCAATCATCAACAGAGTCTTCCCAAGACACCATAGTAGACACCGCCATCTCCGAAGATTACTATAATCGCCCACTCCCCCAAGAGCCAGACTCTCCCCCCGTAACAATACCGCGACGTACAGCCAGTCTCCGGAATAGTGCGCTACGGAATAGTCTGCTGAGACGGTGGCAGGATACAGATTCTCGTCATTCGAGTGTCGAGACCGACACTGTGTCGAATAACTTTAGCTGGAGAGCTGGCGATGATGATCATTTGGATGTGGACGAGGATATAAGGATACGGCCGTCGGAGATTTTGACTGTACAGAGCCTGAATAGGAATATAGCGAGGGGGAGGTCGGAGAGGTTTATACAGCATTCGACTGATTTGGATCGTGTCATGACAGGATGGTAGTTGTAGTGATAGTAAAAAACCCAGATTTTACATTTTCATGTAAATTTTAGGATTTATATTTGTACATAAAAATGCCATGTAAAAATCGTGATGCGGTTTGCTGTAGTTCAATGCTCGATTCACGGTCACCAGTCCATCTTCACATTACAACACATGAAACGATGCCTCCCAAGAGAAAGGCAGCTCTCAAAGCAGAGAGCAAGATCACTGAAGCAGACGTCAAAAATGAAGATATTGACGGTGTAGAAGAGTCAGAAGAGCCAGCGCCAAAGTCTCGAAAGACGACCAAAGGCAAATCCAAAGCAGCAGCAGCCGCACCTAAAACCAAGAAGGAGACCAAAAAGGAAGAAAGCACTGATGAACCAGCTGCTATTGCCGAGGAATCTCAACCAGCTTCGTCTGGATCGGCGATGCAAATCACTATTGAACGTTGGTAAGATCTGAGTTCTGCATGACATTTGCATTGGTGACATTTGGAATGCTGCGATTTGAATGTTTTGCTGAACGCTCTGAATGCATCATCTAACGCTTTAATTTATATTTATTTCATGCAAACAGTAATAGCTGAAACACGTATAAGGGCAAGGCAAGTCTCTTGATAGTCAACACTTTCATCTTCAAAATCCACCACGGAGCTGATTATCGCTTTTGTCGTTCTCTAGGCGAACAAGCTTTCCAACTTGCTATTGGAAACTTTTCCGTCTGCCCAGGTCACTATCTTCATGGTCTGAAAAGTGATTTCGGATGGTAGCTAATCGAGTCTAATTTCACTGCTCAGGTTTCTATCAATCCCGAGAAGCCCAGATCAAAGTCCTTTGATGTCACCGTGAATGGAACGAATGTTTGGAATGGTATGTCGAATCGAACCAAAACACCTTGCAGTCCCAATATCGTCCACTTCTACAACATCACTAATCCACCGTCATTCCAGGACTGAAAATGGGACCCCCACGAGCACTTAAATTCCCTGCCGACGATGTAATCATCAAGTTGGTCAAGGAAGCTCTGTGAATGTAGGACCGAAATCCAGACTCTAAAACAAGGAACCGGAAAGCTTGTGTAGATATGAAGATACTGAAATACGGAACCGAAGTAACATTCGACCATCAGTATCTGATGTAGTTTTATTTAGTAAAACGTATATTGCAAGTTTTTGGGATTTTGTTGGAGATTTGGACGGTCAAATATATAAAAGGCTTTTAAATCGTGTAATCTCTGCTTTTGGCTTGATCTGAATGTTGCATGGAATACTGGGAACGTTCTTTTGGATCTCGTGTCTTCTGTCCGCAAATGATCGCCAATCAACCGTAACCAGTTACCTTTCACGAAGAACTGCCTCAAAGATAACAGAGGATGCCGCCTAAACGAAAGATCGTCACAAAGGAAGAGATATCCACTGACAACGACAATCTCACGCCCGTGGAAGAACCTGCAAAAAAGAAAACCAGGTCTTTGTCGTCGACCAAAGCTTTGAAACCAAACGAGATCAAGACTGAGGCATCTGATACTGCTGCATCAGGGTTTTCTGAGGTGAAAATAGCTTTGGAGCACTGGTAAGTTCTCTCTAAATCAACACGCTGGCAAAACATTTCGACATCAGGCCACGTTTCTTGTTGAGGAAGTACGAAGGAAGACTAATATCTAACCGCATGTGTCTATAGTGATTCTTGCAGCAACTATAAGCGAAAGGCATGCTTCCTTGACCATCCAGCTCTACGTTTTCCGTGAGCTCAAGTCACTGTTGAAGCTTTCTTACACTGGTGTTTTGATTATTATCAGGCAACCAAACTCACCAAAGCCTTGAAGGTGGCATTTCCAAATGCCCAGATATTTATAAATCCTATGCCACGGTTCAAGGCTTTTGACTTTACGGTTAACGGAACGCCAGTTTGGCAAGGTATCTATCTATGCGAGACATTTGAACTGAAGTCTGCATGTCAGAGATGCGGCGAATTTAAGGAACTGATTCGCATCTTCTTGACATCTTTAGGATCTGCTAAAGGCGGTCCTGGAAACTGGAAAGTGAAGGTAATGTATATTGTGAGTTTGTAAACCTGTCCCGTCAGACACTGACAAATTGACTACTAGTTTCCAGACGCGAAAGTTATAATCAAGCTGGTGCAGGACGCCTTATAATTTCGGATCGTGTAAGGAAAAGATCTGTAATGGTTTTGCAAGTTAGTTTGGTGGTAGCTAGTTTTTCTTGAATTGTATTTTCAGTTGGAGCATTGAAATATTGAAAGATATTAAAAGCACGAAGCGCGATGATTTAGCGCGTGTATTATTGCTGTTCCGTCAGTTTTGAATCTTCTAGCAAACTTAAAGCTCGAAGTCAGTAGTACTCCATATCTACTATCTATATTTTTGATGAGGCTAATGTAAGGACACCGCACAAGCTGGATAGGGAACTTTTCATATGCAACCACCATGACAGAATCGGGCGATTCCTTCCTCACGTCTCTTAGCACCTTCATTAAAACTCGTGAAGACCAAATCTTTCGACCGACCGAGACGAGATTGTCGTCAACCTCAGCGAGGCTCAATGCACCACCATTGACACTTGACCCACACCAGCTCCAATATCTCCTCGAACGATTACACTCAACGTCTGAACCAAACGACCTAAATCCAAACATTCAAGTCACATCAAATAGCAACAACTCGATGTGGTCGTATCTAGGTCTAGCTGGATCAAATACGAGTGTTGAGAGTCTGAATGGAAGTGACGCTGCATATGCAATCAAATCTCTCAAAGTTGTCGTGGATGAGCTCAAAACGTTGCATGTCTCGCCTGTCAAGCCAACCATACCGAGAAAGATTGTTGGGGTTGACTATACGATTGCCGCACGGATTGATCTGGATTCTTTCATGTCGCTGACGCGATTGTATGTTGACAAGGTGCAGGATTTGAAGCTTGGGACGTGTAGGAGGATGCTGGTGACGCTGTCACTTCAAAATGGATTGCCGAATGGATGTGCTGGTCTGGTTGCGCTGCTGTCGGGTGATGAGCTGTTGCAGCCGTTGTCGCAGTTGACGACGCTGGATGTTAAAAGTAATGAACTGGATCAGTATTCGAATGAGCTGGTTGAGGTTGCGCCGTATCTCAAAACGCTGGATGTTTCGTTTAATGCTTTCAAGGTTTGTTTGTTGCTGTTTTTTTGTATTTTATAGTCTGCTAATACTCTTTTTCGTGATTTTAGGAAATACCAAAGAATCTGGAGCATTTGCTGTATCTTTCAGAGTTGGTGATTAGCAATAATCGGATATCTGATCTTGCTGGAATTGAGAGCTTGCTAGGAAGGCTGACACGGTTGAATATTTCTCGAAACAAGTAATTTGACGCGTCCCAATTTTCTCTCATATTCGCATTTTACTCACCATTTTTGTTTAGATTGGAGACTTTGACTGGCCTCGATCAATGTGAGAGGCTCCGATATTTAGATGTATCCGAAAACGAAATCAGCGATATCGTTGAATTTTCCAAATTCGGATCACTGGATTTGGAAGATCTATCAGTTGCTGGAAATCCATTTACAAAGAATCATCAACACCGGTTGACTCTATTCTCATATTTTAAGCAAAAGAGTCTGTCATTGACTTTAGATGGGAGCTTACCAACAAAGTCGGAACGGATATCGATACAAGCTGCTACGATTGTGGATGGAACGAAGCCAATACACGATGAGTTTCTGGATATGAGATCTATGTCCGGTGCATCCTCTGATGCTGGAAAGAGGCTAAAGAAACGTATCGTTAACATGGACAAACATGCTGGGAAAGAAGGAGGACGTGAACATCATATTAGCGGTCGTTCGAGTACAACTTCTGCTATAAATACGAGCAGCATCAGTCCTATGACATCGACAGATTCTGTAGTAAACGATGCCCCCCAGTCACCACAATCCATTGACGAATCTGTGTTTCATACTCCTGAAGCAGCTTCTCCAATATCAGAATCAGTACTGGCTGGACGTCCGCCTCGTATGATATCACCACCACAAGCAGAGCCATTTATCGCTCCGAAACGAATGATGAGAGCACTAGAATTAGATACTGCATCGAAAACATTTGATTATAGTGGATCAGACGTTGTCACGCAACGACGCAGTATGATTCGAGAGCACGATACGTTACATAAAAGGCCTAAACCCCATAGCCGAAGGTCGATTGCTACGTCTCTGCCGACGTCATCCAACTTTGAGTCATATATGAGTAGTAAGCAGCCCACGGATATGAATAGGACGATAAGTAGTGCCTCAGCTGTTGTTTCTATTGTGAGACAGGCTGAGATTCCTGTAGTCGAGGCACATCATACCACTGATGACGAATTCGTTGTTGGTATTCCGGATGAAGTATTAGCAAAGGAGGAACGGTTAGCAGCTGCTGTACCAGAATCGTCCTCTGCAACTGACAAGAGAAGTGAATCCCCGCTTACTAGAGAGGAAGTAACGGATGAACGAATGGTGGTTGAGACGAGCTTCCCAGGTCGCTCTGCAGGCGTGGAAGAAGATATAGAGACGACGACATCAAATGGTCGCCATTCTCTGCCAGTAACTGTAGATAGCTTTCTACCCACAGATGCAATTGCAACAACGGCCTCAGCAAACGATACCATACCTCCAGCATCACCAATATATACTACACAATATGTAGATAAACCACCACACTCTGGATCGGTCTCATCGCATTCAGAGTATTCGACAAGCTACAGAAAAATCGGCCCGTATAGACGAGTCTTTGATCATGTGTCTTCAGCAGCTTCAGAGAGCTCTAATGGAAGCGGTCCACGTGTAATCTATCACGATGACTCGCCAATACGGTCGTCAAGGTCGACGAGAACTCCACCTCCTGTTTCTGTAACGTCAAAGGCACCTGCACCATCAGTCAATAGTAATACTAATAATACCAATAATAGTACGTCAAAATCATTACCACAAGTCTTTGTCGAAGGTGGCAAGGCCAACGCATTTCCTGGCATTCATGCACGCCATACTCCGACT